AGAAATAGGAACAGGAAGTTAAAGAACTGTTATGAATTGAGAAAATGCAAGAGCAGGCTCAATGTGCCAAATAACCTGCTCTTGTTCTTATATCCTAATGATTTCTATGCTATTAGCTGATATCGAGCACCCAAAAAACAATATAATTAACCTCAGTGTTCCTTGATTGCAGAGGGAAAATAACCAAGTTTGTGTTTCTGATTCTCTCCAGTGTTTCTGCTGTAAAATTTGTTTGTGTGGGATTCCAAGTGAAGTCAGGATCAAGCATGCATTTGATGGTATCCCCTCCCTTTCCTCAGTCACATATCAACTGACACTCACTATCTAGACTTAGACTTTATGACTGGTTATTTGGGTGTGTTACAGTAGGCATTGAGCATCCATTTAACATTACCCAATATAAGTCAGCTCTTTTACAAACAGAGTAACAAAGATTGAAGATATTGGATCTGTTTTCTCCTAGTACAGAAAGGTTGAAAGGAGATCTGATAGAGATTATTTTTATATTTTGGAGAGTTTTGATCGTGTAAATAGGGAAACATTATTTCCACTAGTCAGTGAGACAGTAATTGGAGAGAGTAGATTTGTAAATTGGCAAAAGAATAAAGTGAGAGAGGTTAGGAGATTTTTGTTTACATAGAGGTTTATTAGGATATGGAATGTCCTATCCAGAAAAATAATTAAAGTGAAATCCATGTGCCTTTTAAGAGTGAACTAAAATAAAGCTATTTAACAAATCACCTAAATCAGAACTGATTTGTGATTGGTTTGTAAAATTATTTCCTATTGTGGTAAATGGCTAAATAGAAATTGTTTTACTTCAGAAACAATTCTAGCTATTTTATAATCTTGTGCACAAACTATGCCTTCTATGAAGGAGTCCTTTATCGAGCATTACATTGTAATGTGAACTTTGTTCAGGACCACCTTTCCATACTCTGGTCTCCAAGTAAACCTGCAGGTTTGTCCTTGATTCCAGGTAAAAAGTTCATTCCTTTTTGCTGTGTACACAGACTACAGAACAAACAGAAGAAAGATCAATATTGTATTCTCACTGGGTATGCAAAAATACCATAGATTCAGCTTTATTTTGACAACATTGATGTTCTTTAAGATGCTAGTGAATGGTACCAGCAGCAGTATTTATACCTGACTGGTACAGTGCCGTTTTTGGTCTAAATTGACCCTATTAATCTAGCATTTCATCATCCAGAATTTGACAAATTGTGAACTCAGTCTTCGCTTTGAAACCAGTTTTCTGTAGTCTTGAAGAAAAATTTACAGAAAAACAGTTACAAAATTAAGGCTCCATTTAAGAAATGACCAAATTCTGTATGCTTTGAAATGTTATGTTAATAGATACAACAACAGCTTGTACTTATATAACTCCCTCCATGCAGGGTAGTGTCTCAAAGCATGTAATCTACGTTAAAATATTACATTTAGACCAAGGTGGAATTTTACCTCTACATTGGTTTAAATCTCAATCACTTAACTGGAGATAATTTTGCAAGGTGCACTCCAAATTGATTCAATGTCCGTTTCTTCATTTGAAAGCCAAATAGCTTTCATTCATTGTGAAACTGCAGCCAATTGACACAAACCATATTGTAGAAATTCGAAACATTTCGAATTATCTATCTAGCTGGTTGGGCATCATCAATCATTGAATTCAGTCTAAAATGGAATAAGATAACAACTCACAATAGTTTGCCTCCTGATAATTCTAACCCACCCTTTAAAACAACACAGTAAAAAGCATAAGTTGTTTAATTCAACTTCGTTTTTTACCTGTGGTCATGCTAAGGTTTGAATACTAATCTACAGATGTTGAGTTCTCTTTAAACATCCGTAACATCACCAGACTCCGCAACTACCTCACCCCTCAGGCCGCTGAAACTCTTGTTTGTGCCTTCATCACCTCCAGGCTCGACTATGCAAACACCTTGCTTGTTGGCCTTCCCAACTCCTCCCTCCACAGGCTGTAGATAATCCAGAACTCTGCAGCCCATGTCCTCTCCTGCACCAAACTCTGTGACCCCCATCTCCCCCACTCTCGCCTGACTCCACTGGCTCCCTATCCTTCAGAGAATCCAGTTCAAGATCCTGGTCCTCACCTACAAAGCCCTCCATGGCCTCGCCCCACCCTACCTCTGCGACCTCCTAACTCCTAACTCCCTAACAACCCGCCCGCTCCCTCCACTCAGCCGGCTCTGGCCTGCTCCACGTCCCCCAACCCACCCACCCCACCATTGGCGGGAGAGCCTTCAGCCACTCTGCCTCCAACCTCTAGAATTCCATCCCCCAATCACTCCTCCTCGCCCCCTCCTTAGCCTCCCTCAAGTCCCGCCTCAAGACCCTACTCTTCGACCATGCCTTCGGCCATCCCCCTTCCCCTCCCCTCCCTTCTATCCCCCTGATCCCAGCTCGGGTCTGAAATGCTGTACACTGTCCAGTGCCTTAGAACATCCTCCCGATGTGAAAGGCGCTATACAAATGTAATTTTTTTGTAGTTGTAACCATATAGATCGCAGCATGTAGTTTTTTTTNCCACCACAAGGGAAACAAGATTTCTAAAGGATAGCAGGATTAAGAGATATGGGGATAGGGCGGGTAAATGCAATTAGGTTAGAAGATCAGCCATGATCTTATTAAATGGTGGGGCAGGCTCGAGGGGCTGAATGGTCTACTCCTGCTCCTACGCCTTATGGTCTTATGGTCTTAAGAATGAGGTGCAAGGTGATCCCTGATTAGAGAGTACAAAAAGCAAATGTAATTTGACTTTGTGACACAGAAAATTAATTGCACAATTTTTACTAAATGCAACTTCATCTATTGATGGATCAAAGATCTATAACCAAAACTATTCAGAATAAAAATTACACAAATTTCCAATAAATAGGGTGAGAATGCACATTCCATTTCAGACACGGGAAATGTCCGTGGGTTGGTAGCATGTATATATGGAACTCACAGTCTGGTTTGATGTCAGACACTTGGCAGCCCCCCAAAAATAATGGAAATTCAGTGGAAGAAATCACTTGCTCTATGTTTGATGAATGCACCCTCACAATTTTCAATACTAAATATTTTTAGCAAAACATATTTCCTTGTGTTTGTGCGTTGGGTAATTTTGCAAAACAACATGAACAACAACTTGCACTTATATAGCGCCCTCCATGTAGGGTAGCAACTCACAGTGCTTAACAGTGGTGGAGCCTGACTCTGAAGATGGTTACTTAAGTAGGCCTCGAACCATGCGATTGTGGTCCCATTAAGGTGGATGATGGAGGAGAGGCAGTGGAGGAAGATGGCATGGTCGATGTGGAAGAGAGATCCAGGAGGACGAGGAGGCAGAGGGAGCCCTGGTCAGTGATAGAAAGGATATCATTTGTGACTTTGGCAAGCACTGTCTCTGTGCCGTGGGCAGGATGAAAACCAGGCTGCAGGGGCTCGAGGAGGGAGTGGAGGGAAAGGTGTGACTGAAGTTGACCTGCAACAATGTGTTCCAAGACTTTAGAAATGAAGGATAGGTTGGAAATGGGACTGTAGTGTCAGAGTTTAGAGGGATCGAAAGTGTTTTTTTTGAGAAGGGATGTGATAACAGTAGTTTTCAGGGGTTGTAGATCAGAGCCTGAAGAGAGAGACTGATTGACTGTGTCAGCCAGCAGAGGGGAGAGGAAGGGGAGTTGAGTGACCAGCAGCTGGGTGGGGAGAGGGTCGAGGCAGCAGGTGGTGAACTTCATGCGGGTGATTGTGGTTTAGAGGGAGGAGGGAGAAATGGGGGCAAAGAAGGGGGAACAACAACAACAAGATTCCATTTATAGAGTACCTTTCACGTCGGGAGGACATCCCAAAGCACTGGACAGTTGGGTCAGGACCCGAGCAGGGGGCAAATGGTCAGGGTGAGGGGAGGGAAGGGAGGGAGCGAGGAGGGGGTAGAGAGTTGAGAGGGGAGCTGAAGGCACGGTCAAAGAGAAAGGTCTTGAGACCGGCCTTGAAGGAGGAAAGGGAGGAGACAAGGCGAAGGCACTGGGGGATAGAGTTCCAGAGCCTCAGGGCTGAGAGGCTGAAGGCCTGGCCACCGATGGTAGGGTGGTTGGGGCGGGGGATCTGGAGCAGACTGGAGCCAGAGGAACGGAGGATACGGGCAGGTAAGTAGGGGGATAGTAGGTCAGAGAGGTAGGAGGGAGCAAGGCCGTGAATGGCCTTGTAAGTGAGGATGAGGATCTTGAATTCGATCCTCTGGGGGATGGGAAGCCAGTGGAGGCAAGTGAGGGTGGGAGTGATGTGGTCACGAAGCCTGGTAGGAGCAGTGGCAGGAGCTGTGGTGGAGGGAGGGAGAAGGCAGCGTGGATGGTCTGGATGGGGTGGAAGGGGACATGGGGTGGCGGGGGGGGGGGGATGTTGATGAAGCAGCTAAGCAAAGGTTTTAATTTTTGAGGCGAAGAAGTCTAGGACCTCTTCACACTTGACATTTTATGTGAGGATAGAGGAGCTAGAGGGAATGCACGGAAGGGGTAATGGATGGTGGAGAACAGTGTCTGGGTTGCTTTTGGCTTCCAGGATGACTTTGGAGTAAAAATCAGTTTGGACCAGTGGAAGAGAGAGGCAGTGGGTGCGGAGGTGCTCGAGTCACAGATTGCAGTGAATCGTGAGGCCGGATTTCTGTCATCTGCGCTCAAGCGCCCGGGCTTGGGTTTTAAGTAAGCAGAGATGATTGTAGTGCCAGAGGGAGCAGGTGGTTTTGGAAACAGTCCTGGATTCCCCTCTAGCTCCTCTAGTGAATTAAAGGTTGTGGAAAGACAGTAATTCAGCAGCCTGGTGACTGCATCAGGATTGCTGTGGGTGGAGGGCCAGATGGAGAGGAAGTCCAAGAAAGAGAGGGTATTTGTGAGGGACTCGGGGGAAGCTTTTTCCAGGGGCAGAAAAGAATGGTGGAGGGCTTGGATGAGGGGAGGGGGATGCGGGTGGAGAGAGAGATGAGTAAATGGTCCAAGATGGCCTTGTCCATGATGGACCGGTCGGAATTGTCAAGGCCATGTGTGATGACGAGGTCGAGGGAATGGCCACAGTTGTGGATCGGTGAGTTGATCTAGAGGGTGAGGTTTAGGGAGGAGAGGAGGGCAGTGAAATCTGAGGAGATGGTGCAAGAGGAGTTAAGATGGAGGTTGAAATCACCCATTATGAGCAGGTGTTCAGTGCAGAGGGATAGGGATGAGAGGAGAGAGAAGATATCAGTGAGGATACATTAATGCAATAAAAACATTAGTGCACAATTTGTATAAATGGTGCAATTGCTTTCTCAGAAGCTCTCACTTATTTGCGCAGCAAAGTCTAATTGCATTTGCTTTATGCACTTTACAGCCCGTAATTGCCTTTTATTGATTTTTCGCTCTAAAATGTTGGACAACTGTAGAACTCCACAGACTGTGCATAAACTATTGAATTACACTCAGCAGCTTACAGGTTGCAGTTGTTCTTACAGATGTTTATGATCCAGTAGTAGACGAACCCAGCCTGTTTGCTCGGTGCCTGCCAATCCGATCAGGGGGTTGTGGTCAATCACATGTCAGCGACAGGCAGCGAGTGTTGGTTCAGTTGTGAGCGTTGATTCCGTGTGACTTCTGGGATCTCAGAGCTTGAAGAGAAGCTGTGGGGCTGTGGGACTGATGAGATGTCACTTGGCACTTTAGCTATGGATGGTGGCGTGGACTACTTCGACACTGCCTGTCAATACGAGAGTTCAGAGCTGGGCCTGGATCCACCTGCCTGTACCCAGGCCAGGGCGCAGCAGCCCCAGTTACTGATATCGTGTCTGGGTGATTTGGACCAGAATAACGTGGCGGGTGTCAACCTTTACGAGAGTCCCCCGGGTTCGGATCCCGGACACTTCTCCCAGTCTGATCACCTCACTTCAGGGTTTGGGGATGAGCTTCTGCTGCATCAGGGGCGCTATCCGTTCCCCTGGATGAAGAGCACGAAATCACACACCTACACGCTAAGGAGCCAGTGGACAGGTATGGTTACAGGGTTACAGGGTTACAGGGTGATCGATTATTAAGCTCAGCGCTTGGTTTGAGTCTAAAGCTACAGTGGGGGTGGAATGGACAAACCAGGTCATTATTGCCCACCATATATGTAAACCTTACACACATATTGCACACCTGTAGGTGCATCGCACACTTAAGTTCTTTCTGCGTCAAGATTTGTTCTATTTCTGCTGTATTTTTGGAAGTCAGTGTTTAGGCGACTTGTTTAGTTCGGTCTAAACTTCGAAGTTTCTTTTTAAAAAATTTTTTTTTATACAAATACCCCAGACCTCGCTGGAATTTCAATCTACAGGTGTATGCGTGCACTTAGGTTGATGCATATGTTGTGCAAATATGCAGTGCATAACAGAAAAAACAGTTCAAAAAGTATGGCAGCCAAATAAATAATACAACTAATTAAACGCCCTGTTTAGTTGTTCACCCTGACGGCACCAAATAAAATAAAAGCACAACAGTACATAAGTTTCAATGGTATTTTACGAACACTGTTCATTCGAATCAAGTGAGTGCATTGAACATGTATGTTAAACCTGGCCATGTTGCATGCTGTTTTGGGAATGATGTCGCTGCTGGAATTCGGGAATTGTTACCTGCGGAAAGTAACCCCTCACAGCAAAATAATGTGGATTGTGATAAATTGTCTGAAGAGATCCAATAGGAATTTTACTTCCCTGAAAATGTCACCCCGGGAGACTGCGCTGGGTTCATAGTGACACTGATCCGATTGCAGTGTGTGTTGGATTTAAAGGCCCAGATCTCTTACAAACTATCTTGCACACAGTGGTTTGGCTGGTTTTGCGTGGATTGGATCAATCAGTATTTTTTTCTGATAAACGTGTTTCAACGCTGGATGCAGCAGCTCTTCAAACGCACATACCCGCGCTTTAAGAATAAAATGTATTTTCAACTACATTATCCGAAATGCACAGTTGAATTCCTTTGAAATATTATTTTATCCTGTTTTGAACGGCGCTTGCATTCAGGGTAAATGTCTAAACATATTTACGCCTGCCAGACTTCAATGACAAGTTAACGTGGTAACTAATATAATTATAATTACGGTACTAACATAATTTTTAAATAAAGAGCGGGATGAGGTCTGAAGAGGGGTTTTAATTTAATTTAACACACGGTTGTCGTCGGGAATCATGCATACCTTTTCCTAGTTGCAATCTCTATGTGTGACAATGAAATACAAGATCCAAGTTTCATATTTAATGTATAATAACGTGCTGCGAAATCGCATTGCACTTAATTCTGAGTGGGTCACTTGCTCAGTAATAATATCCCTGGAACTTCTAAAAGTTAGATATTTTGTGGTATACGTTTCGAAATGAGTGATGCAGGGATAATGACAAATGCAATGCGCCACATATTGATCCCCAAAGCAAATGATGAAGTATAGAATATTGATAGCACCAGAATGTACCCCCCCCCCCCCCCCACACACACACACTTTTAGGCAAAAATGACTCAAGACCAGAAAAGCTCTTCTTTAGGGGCAGAGAATAAGGACTTTTGGTTAATTTTTAAACACAAAATAAAAGAATTACATATAAAGCTAATAAAGCCATAGAGCGAATTAGGAGTGAATTAGGAATGGAGCGAATTGGGTTCCAGATTCATTTAAAATACTGCAGTACAGTAAGTGTCACTTAAAATTTCCTTTAGCTCTAGAAATTCTTTACATCATAAATAAAATTAAATACGTAGGATACCGAGGCTAGCAATAAAGATATACAAACTTATTTTGCAGTAAACTAGAGAATATATATAATAAAATACAATCAAAATACAATTGACCTTTGCAAGAAATCTATCTGCAGCGAATATAAAATAATGCCAAAGGTGAAGCTTAGCGTATTAAATGCTTCTGTTGGTGCTTCGGTTGTATTAACAACAACAAAAACTTGCACTTATATAGCGTCCTCCACGCGGGGTAGCGTCTCAGAGCGCTTATTAAACAATACAGTTAATTATTTTGAAGAGCTGCAGATATTTGCAATCTTCAAGCACACTGTTAGTTTCAGAGAACACCTTTTGAGCACAGTAACCGCTCCAAGCGCAATTTTCTATAGAAACTGACTGCAGTGGAATGGAGAGCAATACTTCTATGGAGGCAATTTTATTTTGCTCTCGTTGAAAACGGCAATGCAGGTTTGAGAAATTGATGAGGGGGTAAGTCAGTTATCCGAGATGGGGGATCCATTCACTTTCTGTAAAAAATACAATATTCGTATTTTACACGTGCCTGTTTATCCCATCTTTCACACAGGTTGGTTAGGTCTTTCCAATCTGTAAGTAGACTACGTTTCCACAAGTCAAGCTGAACGCCAGAAACGCTATCCTTGCGAGAGGATATATATTATTGCGATAAATTGTGTTTTTTCTTTACAACGCAAAGTATTGCAGCTCAAGTCTTTCAAAAGTGCAATCCGTTTCCTGGCGTCAGGTTCAGGCGCTTCGCAGAACATACTGTAGAGTCAGTTGACTGTGTAGTTTCGTGGGCGAAACATGGGAGCCAATTGCGCACAGCAATGAATACATGGAGAATGATGCTGGGTGGTCAACAGCTAATGTAAAGGAGATCATTTACACTAGTTTTGTTGCAGGAAACGGTTTTGCAATGGAAGTGGATGAAAGCAAAAGGACGCGCACGGCTTATACCAGGGGACAGCTGTTGGAGCTGGAGAAGGAATTCCACTTTAACAAGTACATCTCCAGACCTCGACGCGTTGAACTGGCGATAATACTGAACCTCACAGAGAGGCACATCAAGATCTGGTTCCAAAACAGGAGGATGAAGTGGAAGAAAGAAGAAGCGAAACGACAAACTCAAACGGTTTCAAACAAATCCAAAACTTCAGTGCAGGAAAAGTGTTCAGTGGAAGCGGAAGAGAGGAACACGACATCCACCAGAAAGCACAGTGATTTTGCTGTGCCTGGAATCAACAGCGATATTAGACAATTCATCTCATAAAATAAAAGTAAAAATAAGTGCTGTTAAAATAAACCAATTGATCGTTGCCTGTCGCCCAGTGCTGATGAATGTTGTAGCAAGGTTTAGAATTTATCAAACAAGATTGTAGCAGGTGCAATCATTCACGTTTTGGGATATTTAACCTACTCTTGCGAAGCAAATGCAAAATATATTGACTATTTTATTAAACGTGTTTCATTGCATGGTATAAATTAGCCAAGTACGCAAGTCTCAGCGCTCCTCAGTCAGTGATGGGCATATCGATGTTTTTGATGTAATAATCCACCTGTTCAGACTCAAGAAACGAAACTTAATGTACACATTGCTGTCAGCAATAAACGGACAATAGTCTCTGGATATTTAATTCTCTGTTCAGTTTACATTTCGCTAAAACATATAGAAAATGTGGATGTGAAACGTACGTTTCTTTTGTAAAAAGATATATATATATATATTGCAGCTGAGATTCCTGTCAGTAGCCTGACAGGGGCAGGTAGATTTGTGGTTTAGCTGGACCGACCTTTAACATTAAATATTTGCTTCAGAGCAAACCTCAGCCCTCAGGGATTACTCGACAACTGTAATGTTTGTCGCATCGACCAGATCGAATCTATAATGCAATTGACACAGGGATCGAGTTTAGCTACAAAAGGCCCGTGTGTACTCTCTACTAGGTATGGTGATATATTACAACACCAACAACAAATTACATTTGTATAGCACCTTTCATGTTGGGAGGTTGTCCCAAGGCGCTGGACAGTCAGTGCTTGGGACCCGAACTGGGGGTGGGGATTGGGGCTGGTGGAGGGGACTGGGTGGGGGGGGGTTAGCAGGGAGATCAAAAGCACTGTCGAAGAGGAGGTCTTGAGATGGGTCTTGAAGGAGGCAAGGGAGGGGACGAATTCGAGGGATTGCAGGATGACGTTCCAGAGGGCGGAGTGGCAGAAAGTCCACCTGCCAATAGGGGAGGGGCGGGCGAGGCGGGGGACGTGAAGCAGGCCGGAGCCTGCTGAGTGGAGGGAGCGGGTAAGTTGTTAGGGGGTTAGGGGGTCGCAGAGGTAGGGGGGAGCAAGGCCATGAGGGCTTTGAAGGTGAGGAGCAGGATCTTGAACTGTATCCTCTGTGCGATGGGATGTATCCTCTCTGCAATGCACTTTATAAACCACAAGATACAACAACAAGATTTCATTTATAGAGCGCCTTTCACGTCGGGAGGATGTCCCAAGGCGCTGGACAGATAAAGACTGACTGGTGTCTGAAGGAAGAGTCAAAGAGATATATCTTTAGAGGGATTTTGACCACAGAGATAGAGGAGGCAAGAAGGATTTGGGTTGAAACCTTGCATATTGATAGGTCTAAAGAGTGGGGATATGTTTTTTTTTTGCAGCTGGGTGTCGGACACATGCGGAAACCCATAGGCCAAGTTTAAGAGTATCCAAACCAAACTAAGAATTCCATGTACAAAACATAAAATACTGCAGATGCTGGAATCTGAAACAAAAACAGAGAGAGCTGGGAAAACTCAGCGGGTCAGGCAGCATCTATGGAGAAAGGAAAGTGAGTCAACATTTCGGGTCCATGCCCTTCATCTGATCTTTATCGTGGACCCGAAACATTGACTCACTTTCCTTTCTCCACAGATGCTGCCTGACCTGTTGAGTTTTCCCAGCTCTCTGTTTTTGTTTAAGAATTCCATGCATCTCACCTACACATGGCGATTCCAGAGATATTTGTTGGAATGCAGTGCACTCTCTCTCTCTCTCTCTCTCTCTAGTGGGAGGCATCCTGCTTACCTAATTCAAGAAAGTATTAGCTGCAGGTTGGCAGGAACCAAGGCTTGAGGACTAAAGACTTTTGGAGTCTAACCAGCTAAAACTGCATAGTTTGCCATTGAATGCACTTCCTGGCAAACTTTCCCACTGCTTCTCCAGCTACAACCTCCCTACTCACGAGGGCTTTGGATTGCAGGGTTAACAGGAGCTGAGTGGGAAGACTTGTCCCAGTGACTGGTCTGCCCTTCCAAGTTCTCCAATGAGCCAGGCTGACTGTGCTATCATCAGCGGTGCCCTGGAATACTATGAACCCACCTGGCTTAGGGAACGCTACAGAGGGCCGGCTCAATTCCAACATTCCATTGCTAGGCATAGGCAGATCACCTTGGAACCAGTTCAGCTACAAGGAGACTCCACTTATCCCCCACCAGCACTCACCACCCCCCCCCCCACCTCCCCCAGAGAGTCTGAGGGATATGCAGCAGGCTGGCACAGCAGAGGGAGTGGCTGTCGGAGTAGGACATTAGGAAATCACAGAAGTAGAGTGGGGAAAGGTCATGGAGGCATGTGGAGATGCAGACACAGATCTTAAACTCGATCCGGTGGGGATAAGGAGCAAATTAAGCCAAGAAAGGGTGGAGGTGATCAGTTCACAATCGAGACTGGGAGAGGATGAGGACTGTGGAGTTTGGGATAGCCTGGAGCTTGTGGAGGGTAGAGCAAGGAAAGCCTTGAACAAAACATTGGAAAAGTCCAGCCTGGACTTGATAAAGGTGCAGATGAGAGTTTGGGCTATTTGGGAATGTATAGTTTACAGGAATAGTATTCATGATTTCTACTCCAGTCCCAACATGTTTACTGTTGACAATAATAATAAATATTGCAATTCATTACGATTTTTGTGGCATATTATTTATTATGCACACATTAATATGTCATATCAAAAAACAAAAAGCCATAAAAATGCTCACATTATCAAAATATATATTTAAAATGTGCTATATAATCTGTATTAAAAGGTGCAATGTGAGGTTTATGAATTACAAGAATAATTCCTGCATTTGACATAAGGAGTCTTTAAAGTTGGGAGAATATCTCAAAGTGCTTCACAGAATTTACTGCATAGTGTAATGACTGTATATTTTGTAGGCGAAGTTTGCAGTCAATTTTATCTGGGGGATTTGTGGCAGTTGTGTTATGACTTGAGATTTCACGGGGGGGTGGGGGGGTGGAGCGTTCCAGGCTGAATTCTATGGGTTCACTGTCTGTGGATATCTATAACTAATGGTACAACTGCATATTACATCATTCCCAATTGGAAACTTGTCTCACCAATGACCCAGCACCACTGACCCAATAAAAGGAAATGGTGCATTTCCTTGTTGTTTGAGCCATTATAGAATGGAGACTTTACATAATCCGGGTTGTGTTTCCACAACGCAAACAGCAGGCAAAGAAACATTCTTTGTGTGCTGTTTACGAGGTCGAAACACAACCCGATTACTGTACAAACAAGTAAATGGATTTGTTCAAAATATACTCTGATATTTATTACGTTATTAAAATCAATTCATGTTTCATGGAGCTTTGAGAAATATAGCTTATTGCTAATTTCAAAGGAATACAATGTGGCAGTAAGTTCACCATGGAAATTATTGTATTCAGCCTTCTATACCTGTTCAGTGTTAGTTTCATATCTAATGTGATAATATTGTAATATAATATGCACAATGTGAGTAAATATTCCTATAAATCACAAGGATAATATGAACACTGAAGATCACATCTGGATTTTGTCAAGTTGAAATCGCTGTTATTAGGACAGATGTTGGGAAATGCCTGAATTTTAATTCTGGTGACCAGAGCATTTGACATCTCCAGTTGAGCAGGTTTGCTTAAAGGTTTGCTTGGAGGGTGAGAGAAACATTGCCTGAACCAATGAAGGATTGGTTCAGGCAACAGCATTATTAGCCAACTATACTCACCTAGACTACGATGATGAAGTTGCCCAAGTTCAAGGTTTATACAAATGACCAGTGGTCACATACTCTAATATAACCAGTATTGAGCAGATGGTGCTTCAAAAAAAGTTAGAATTTTTTAAAATTTATGGCACATCACGTGTAAAATACAAAAGCAATTTATATTTCAATACTGACTTGTTCAGTAATGTTGCTGCCAAATAAACGTTGCAGAACAAGGCTGACTTTTGCCCTCGTATCTTGTGCAAACAGAAAACTGACACTGTACAACTACAGATAGGCCTTAAGTGTTCTGTCTCACATGGCAACGCATAGCAACACACAACAACGCACCTGGGAAAAGGTGAACGTTTTGATTAGTTGCCATATTCTGGGAGACTAAAGGTTCAAAGTGCACATATGAACTGGATTTGAGAACCCTGCAAGTTAGACATAAGGGAAGTTTCCTTATGTTTCAGGAACAAGTTCCTTGGATGAAGCAAGAACTACCCACCTTGTTGAATACACACTGACCAGGGTTTCTGCAGACAACATGCTGCTGTAGCACTATAAACAGGAGCAATGCAAAGAGAGTGAATTAAAGGTGATTTAAAATGTTATCGATCTGTGTGGGATAAAAACTGACTGACATACCAGTATCCTGCTTCAAAAACTGTGGTCATTGGTTTTCAAGGGCAAGACATGGATTCAGAAGTGGCTCAAGGGAAGGAAAAGAGGGTCTTTGTTAGGGGAGCAAGGTGAAAATGGGGAGAGATATTAAGCAGGGTGCATCAGGACTTTGTACTTGCACCCCTCCTGTTCCTCCTATGTACTAATCACCTGGATTTGCAGACCCAGTGTAAGATAATTACATTTGCAGTCTTCACCAAGTTGCGGGAATCAGTGGAGGCAGCAAAGCTCCTACAAAGAGAGCTTCAAAAGGCTGATGACTGGTAAATTAAATTTAATACAGGTAATGGAAACTACTACATATAGGATGCGAGAATAGGACACTCAAGTACTCCAGAGATGGCTCTGGTGGGGTTCAGCATAAATCCCGAGGCATCGAGGGCCCCCTGTCATCATGCAAACCCATTGACATCATCTCCCTTCCAACCTAACCTGCTGGAGGGGAGGGGACACCTCACCACACCACCCCTCCAGGCCCACACTGGCCGCCCTCCAGCCAGTATCCATGCTGCCAGGATGGGACATCTGCCCACTAGGTTTGGTAGAGGCCCCAGAATTGAGCTTAGCATGGGGCCCT